CCTGGCCCTGCGCTGTAGGGGAGGTTTCCTTGTGCTGCTATGATTGGCTCCCTTGGCTCCACCCACACTGAGGCAGGGCAGGTCAGGCTAAGGGGCCCTGATGCCAGGAGTGGCGCTCTGATCTTGGCAGGGCCACTAGGGAGGAGGGAAGAAGGGATGACCCAGGCATCCGGAGGCTCACAGCCCAGAGGTAACAGGAAAAAAGCTATAGAAGGTGGAGGAAGGGGGGAGAAGAGTCAGATGGAAAAGAAGGGAACTGAGGCCAGACAATAGGAACTGAATGCCACCCAGGATTGAGATTTGGAGTAGAGTCTAGGAGAAAAGGGCCAGGGCTTGTGAGTCAGCCTGCTCAGGAGGGGACCATAAAACAAGGCAGAGGGGCCCCAGTGGACAAGAGCTCATGCTTGCTTTGCAGTATTGGTCCCATGGAGCTGTTCTGGCTCCCACAGCAGGTGCCAGCCTGCGGGGAAATGGCTGCCTTGTAGGGCAGAGTCCAGATAGGCAGCAGCCGGCTGGGGCTGCAGTGGGCCAGGGCACACTGGAGTTGCTGCAGTTTGTCACTTGACTGCCTCTCTACTTTTGCACCATCATGGCCTAATTTCTGTTGGCCTAGGCCAAGATCTTATTCTTGAGCGAACTCTCAGATGCCACAGCTTTTTGTCCTTTTCTGGGCTCTCATGCTCTTTACGAGCCTATCCTTGTCCACCAGAAACCCAAAGAACCCCATGCCGCGGGCTCTGGTAACCAGGTCAGCATGCAGTGCCTGCACGGGCAGAGGGTGAGACTTTTTCACCGCAACCGTTCTGCTACTGCCCCCACAGGCTCCTGCATGGGCTGAGCTGTAGGCCAACCCTTGAGCTCACTGTCCCCAGTCAACTCCTTATGCATCCCACTCAGTCACCCTGCCCCTCAGTCTCCCATGGGGAACCTCCTTGCTCATTTGCAATGGTGAAGTCTTCAGCAACTTTTAAGGGAAGAACACACCAGCTTTGGCTTTGCAACCCTGCAAGTTGCTGTCTAAAGTATAACTCCTGCTGGGCTCGGTAGCTCAGCCTGTAATCCCAGCGCTTTGGGAGGCCGCGGGTTGAAGACCCGCCTGGGCAACTTGGCAAGATCGCATCTCTACAATAAAATCAAAATAATTAGCCAGGTGTAGTAGTGCACACCTGTAGTTCCAGCTACTTGGAAGGCCGAGGCGGAAGGATCGCCAGAGCCCAGCAGGTTGAAACTGCAGTGGCCGGGAGCGCCGGCCACTGCACTCCAGGCTGGGTGACAGAGTGAGACTCCAACTCAAAAAATAAAGTACAGCTCCTGCATAGTCCCGGCCCTTAGTACACATCCCCAGCCCCGCCCCCAGACTCTAGCCTGGCCTCTGTCACCAGCACCAGGAAGGACTCCTCTCTGCCTGCCCTCAGGGCCATCCATTCTAGAGGGCAGTTGGTTTCATTTAATTTTTCTTTTTTTGAGTTGGAGTCTCATTCAGTCACCCAGACTGGAGTGCAGTGGCCGCTCCTTGGCCACCACAGCCTTGACCTGCTGGGGTCCGGCGATCCTTCTGCCTCAGCCTTCCAAGTAGCTGAAACTACAGGTGTGCGCTATCACGCCCGGCTAATTTTTTTGATTTATTGTAGAGATGAGGTCTCGCCAAGTTGCCCAGGCGGATCTCTAACCCGCGGACTCAGGCAATTCACTCACCTCAGTCTCCCAAAGCTTGGGATTACAGGCTGAGCCACCGAGCCTAGCCTGGTTTTCATTTCTTTTCTTTTTCTAAATTTTGTACAAAAAAAAATTTTTTTTGTAAGTGGGAGTAAAAAAAAAATGGCCCAGGCTGTTGTGCAGTGGCACACTCACAGCCACCTCAGACTCAATCTGCTGGGATCAGGAAACCCAGAAGCCTCAGCCTCCCAAGTAGCTGGGATTACAGGCATGTGCCACCTCACCCAGCTAATTTTTTAACTTTATTGTAGAGATGAGGCCTCACCAAGTTGTCCAGGCTTATCTCGAACCCCTGGATTCAGGCAATCCTCTCGCCTCCACTTCCCAAAGTGCTGGGATTACTGGCGTGAGCCATCACACTTGGCCTCTTCCATGTCTTTTTTTTTTGAGTCAGAGTCTCACTCTGTCGCCCAGGCTGGAGTGCAGTGGCATACTTGTGGCCACTGCAAACTCAACCAGTTGGGTTCAGGCAATCCCTTCCACCTTAGTCTTCCATGTAGCTGGAACCACAGGTGTGCACTACCATGTCCAGGTAATTTTTTGATTTAGCCGGGCTCAGTGGCTCAGCCTGTAATCCCGCGCCTTTGGGAGGCTGAGGTGAGTGGATTGCCTGAGCCCGCGGGTTCGAGACCTGCCTGGGCAACTTGGCAAGACCTCATCTTTACAATAAATCAAAAATTAGCCGGGTGTGGTAGCGCACACCTGTAGATCCAGCTACTTGGAAGGCTGAGGTGGAAGAATTGCCGGAACCCAGCAGGTCAAGGTTGTGGTGGCCGGGAGCGGCCACTGCACTCCAGTCTGGGCAACAGAGTGAGATTCCAACTCAAAAAAAAAAAAAAAAAAATTTTTTTTTTGATTTATTGTAGATACGAGGTCTCTCATATTGCCAGACTGGTCTCAAACTTGTGGGTTCAAGCAGTCCTCTAGCCTCAGCCTCCAAAGTGCTTGCATTACAGGCGTGAACCACCCTGCCTAGCTTCTTTCATGTCTTTAAACTTGTTTTCCTTAGTTTCCATTTCTGTATCTCTGTGCTCTATCTGTGTAACTTCTTCACATCTACTTCCAGTTCACTCTCCTTCAGGGAAAAGTCTAATAACCATAGTTTCTAACATCAAGTAGTTTTTCATTTAGGAAAGTTTAGGATGGGTATGGTGGCTCACGCCTATAATCCCAGCACTTGGGAAGCAGAGGCAAGAGCATCACTTGAGCCTAGGAGTTTCAGATCAGCCTGGGAAACATGGCAAGACCCTGTCTTTTTTTTTTTTCTTTTTGAGTCAGAGTTTCACTGTATCACCCAGACTAGAATACAATGGCATGATTATGGCCACTGCAGCCTCAACTTGCTGGGCTCACATGATCCTTCCGCCTCAGCCTTCCAAGTAGCTGTAACTACAGGCAGGTGCCACCACACCCAGCTAACTTTTTGATTTATTTTAGAGGCGAGGTTTCACCAAGTTACCCAAAGCTGGTCTTGAACCCCTGATCTCAGGCAATCCTCTTGCCTCAGTCTCTCAAAGTGTGGGATTTCAGGCCTGAGCCACTGCGCCCAGCCCTGTATCTATTAAAAAAATAAAAATTAGGGGGCACACCTCATCAACAAGGGTACTTGCATAATGAGCATTTGTATACCTAACCCTGAATTATATCCCACTTTTTTTTTTCCCCGAGTTAGAGTCTCACTCTATCACCCAGGCTGGAGTGCAGTGGCATGCTCACAGCTACCCCAGCATCGACCTGCTAGACTCCAGCAATCCTTCCACCTCAGCCCTCCAAGTAGCTGGAACTACAAGTGTGCACTCCCACACCTGGCTAATTTTTTTATTTTTATTGTAGAGACGAGGTCTCACTATGTTGCCCAGGCTGGTCTCGAACCCACAGGCTCAGGCAATCCTCTCGCCTCAGCTTCCCAAAGTGCTGGGATTACAGGCTTGAGCCACCATGCCCAGCTTGTACCCCACATCTTTAAAATTAAAAAAAGGAAAAGAAAAAATTAAAAAGTTAAAAAATAAAGTTTACCTTTTTTTGAGTTGGAGTCTTATTCTGTCAGTTAAGCTGGAGGGCAGTTGGCATGCTCCCGGCCACCACAGCCTCAACCTGCTGGGCTCAAGCGATCCTTCCACAGCCTTCAAAGTAGCTGGAACTATAGGCACGTGCCACCATGCCCGGCCAATTTTTTAAATTTATTGTAGAGATGCAGTCTCACCAAGTTGCCCAGGCTGGTCTCGAACCCACAGACTCAAGGCAATCCTCTCACCTCAGCCTCCCAAAGTGCTGAGATTATAGGCGTGAACCACTGTGCCTGGCCCAAAGTTACTTTTTAATTACATCAGTCTGGTCCCGTTTGATCTTCTTTTCATTACTCACACTTTTTCTTTGAACATAAGTAAAACATTTTATATTTTGTATTTTATACTTGTAACATTGCTGCCTTTGCCTGATTCTTTTGTCCATTGTTTCCAAGAACTCTTGCTTGTGGTGGCTTATTTTCTTGTGTGCTTTATACTTTAATTGTAAGTTCATATTTCCTTGAACTTTTATCTGAAAGGATTCCTTGAAGTCTGGGTTTAAAGAATAATCCTCAAGAGAGGATTGCATTTGCCTTTGCCAGGTGCTTAGAGATACCACCAACCTAAGACCATTTTAAATTACCAGCTTGAGGATTTTCCAGACCACATGGGTAGTATAAGTTTTAGTACTGAGGGCCAGTTGTGCTTACATATCTTCAGGAAAACCTTATCTTTCTACCTCCTACCTCCCTAGCATCTGAAACCAAAGTCAAGTAGGTGAGTTGTAGAAGTGATTCATCCTTTATCGTTTCCTCAGCCAGGCTCGGTGGCTCAGCCTGTAATCCCAGCACTTTGGAAGGCCTAGGCCGAGTGGATTGCCTGAGCCCATGGGTTCGAGACCAGCCTGGACAACTTGGCAAGACCTCATCTCTACAATAGATCAAAAATTCAGCCGGGTGTGTTAGTGTGCGCCTGTAGTTCCGGCTACTTGGAAGGCTGAGGCGGAAGGATCGCTGGAGCCCAGCAGGTCAATGCTGAGGTAGCCATGAGTGTGCCACTGCACTCCAGGCTGGGCAACAGAGTGACACTCCAACCCAAAAAAAAAAAAGATCTTTTCTTCTTGGGGGAAGGGGGTCCCAGACTTAAGTAGAAGGGGTCTCTGATCTGACCTCCCACTTTGTAGAAGCTTTAGGCTTTGCTGCCTACTCCCATACATGGCCCACCAAAACAGCAGTTCTAGACCACCCACAAATCCCACATAAAAGCAAAATATAAAAAGATGAGTAACAAAAATGTTTATGAACTGACTCCTAATAAAATTCCAGCCCTGGGAGTCATGAACAGATTCCATGGCCTTCACTGGCTTCAAGGTTGCACACTGGCCCCTATTCTTCTGTACCAGAACCACTGGCTTAAGGCAAGGGAGAAGGAGGTGAGTACACGATGAACCAGATCCATGCAGAGGCAGTGTGGCATGGCAGAAGGCTGAGTGCTCTTCTTATCTAGCCTTAAGGGCAGTCCAAGAGCCTTCTGGTCTTTTCTGAGCAAACTTAGGTCAAGGGCAGCTGTGAATGGAAAAGAACCAAGAAAAAAGGCCAAGCCCAAGTCTGTCCCCACAGATCCATGTCTCCTCAGGGCAGTAGCAGAGCAGTGAGCAGTTCCTTATTACTGTTTGCTCAAAGGGAGATGTCTCCTGTCCTTGCCTGCGTTTCGGCGCCTCTTTCGACTCAAGAAGCTCTCCAGTTTCTTGCTGCGTTTCAGCTCGTTGAACTTCTCAGCTAGCGCCAACTGGCGCTGCTCAGCTAAATGACAGGGAGAATGAAAGCCAGTGAGCAAAGGAACAAGCCTCCACCTTCCAAAACCAGGTCAATAACTCTTAGCTATTAACCTGGAATGTGTGAGTTGTTTAAAGCTCATTGGTGACTCTTCATATGATCTCAGCCTTACTCAATTCAACCAACTATGAGGTCCTTCTATGTGCCTAATCCAGTATACATGTGGGAGGGGCAGAGATAAAATGAGATAAAAGTGACAATCCCTGCCACAGTTTAACTGGGGATACAAGACTGGTTACAAATAATTCCTCCCTACTATTTCTACTTTCCTCAAAGTTACCATGGGATCCAATAATTCCTCCCTACTATTTCTACTTTCCTCAAAGTTACCGTGGGATCCAGCCTTCATGCTTTCTTTAAAGGACCTCAGGGACCCCCGACACAGCTTCCTGTCACTATGGATAGGGACAACACCCCATCCCTGCAGCCAGACTGCAATAGCTTTGCCCTGCTCACATTTCTTCAGGTAGTATGGCTGATGGCCTTGCTGGGCCTGAGCCCGCTGCTCCTGCTTCAGGGCCAGGCGCAGTTCCTGCTGCCGCTTTCGTTCCTGCTGTGCCATTTCTTGCTGCTCCTGAGAAGCAAAGATGAGATGGGATGAAATGGGTGAACAGGAACTGTGAACGCCTCCCACCTTGAACTGTTCTCACTACCACCTGCAGGTCTTGTCCACTCACCATTCGCTGAAGCAGCTGCTGCAGTTTTTCATGCTCCTCCCCTGAACGGTGCTTCTTCAACTGCTTTTTCACAAGCTCCACATTGAAAAATGAATACAATGCTTAGCATTCTGTAAATGGTAGCTGCAATTTTGTGCAAACCATTACCCTAAGAGGTTCGCATACATCAACTTGATAACACTGAGACAATAATTGTTATTGTTTTTATAATTAGAAAACTGAAGCATGGAGATTAAGTAACTTGCCACGACTAGTAAAGTGATGAGCCAGGATTTGAATATAAGAACCAAATTAGGGAAGAGTTAAATCTGCCCATAACTATGATTCCCACTCCCCTCTGCCCAACTCTCTAACCTGTGCCCTAGCTTCCCATCCCGCTACAAATCCCAATGAACCAGTCTCATGCCCCATACCTCTTTCTCTTTGGCTCGGATATCATGCAAGAACTGATACGTTTTGTCAAACACTTCAGGATTATATTCCCCTGACAGATCATCAAAGCGAGGGTCGCGGGCCACCTTTGGAGAGAATAGTGATAATATAAAATAGAACTGTTCAGTATCCTTTCACTGAGAAAATGCTTCCTGCCTCTTCCTCACCTTTTTACTGATGGGAACAACCCGACGTAAAAATGGTACTCGAATTTTGGCTGACATTTCCAGAGGCCTACAGAGACATTAAACGACAAGTCAAGGGAATGCCAGTTTTGGTCAGACGCTTCCCACCTGCCACCCAAGAAAACAGACATCTATTCAAGGTCCCAGGTATCTTCTAATTCCTAGGCTAGGCCTTGCTCCTCACCTGTGCTTATCTGCTACACATGCATTTTGCACAGGTGGGCTAGACCCTTGTTTCTCAATGGTGTTTCCGGCTACCAATTGTTTGAATGTCTTAGTCCCCACTTGGCTCTGCAATTTCAACAGCTCCTCAAACGACATGTTAGATGTGCCTGCAGAAGTGGGTAGAGACACACAACTCAGCTCAACATATACCACTGCGAAAAAGACATCATCCCATCCCCATTCCTTAGGTAGCTGATCCTTTGTAATAATCTCATCAGGCCAATCACTGTTACAAGTCCCAGGCAGTACAGGCTGTAATGGTGCTACACCCGACACCTAACTCCTCAACTAGTTCAGCTACTTGAGGCCTCATCTTGTTAAGCAAGGTATATTGGTAATGTCAAAGGTGGACAAAATCAGTCCTTCCTTTTTTCACCTTCTCTTTTCAATTACTATTTTCCAGGTTTCCTGTGCTCAGTTACCATTGCCAATGTCCTGGTTCATCCTTTCAGTACCTTTCTCCTCAATCGGTGATGTAGGCTAAATGGTCTCTCAGTCTCACATCTCTCAAAGCTATGTTCCCCACTTCAGCCTGAGAGAGGCACTGAAAATGAAATCAGATCTCATCACTCCCACAGATTATGTTACTCTAGACTCATTCCCCAGTGACTTCCATCTTGAGCAGAATGAAAGCCATGTCTTCTGATGACCTGAAAGCCTCCAAGTGACCTGGCCCTCTATAATGTCTCTAATCTCATCTACTAATCTCATTCCTCTCCAGTTAAATGGCCTCCTAGCAGTATGTTCCCACCTCAGTTCCTGTGCACATGCCATTGCCGCTGCTTGGTACACTTTCCTCAGACAAATGTATTGCTTGCTCCCTCACCTTCCTCAAGCCTTTGCTCAAATGTCACCTACCCACTGAGGCCTTCTCTGACTCAGTTACTTAAAATTGCAACTCCTCCCTTCTTTATTTCCCTCCATATCCCTTATCAACTTTAAAAAACTGAGACACACCGGACTCGGTGGCTCAGCCTGTAATCCCGTGCCTTTGGGAGGCTGAGGTGAGTGGATTGCCTGAGCCCGCGGGTTTGAGACCTGCCTGGGCAACTTGGCAAGACCTCATCTCTACAGTAAATCAAAAATTAGCCGGGCATGGTAGCGCACGCCTGTAGTTCCAGCTACTTGGAAGGCTGAGGTGGAAGGATCGCTGGAGCCCAACAGGTCAAGGCTGCGGTGGCCGGGAGAGTGCTACTGCACTCCAGTCTGGGTGACAGAGTGAGACTCCAACTCAAAAAAAAAAAAAATGAGACACAACTAACATTCCATAAAGTTAACCCCTTTTTTAAAGCATACAATTCAGCATTTTGCCTTTTAATGTAATAATTGTTTTTTATTTTTACTGCCCTTTCTAAAAGGTAAGCCCATGAGGACAGGAGTGTGTTTGACTGTTTTATTCACTACTATATCTCCAGCAGCTAGAACGGTCTCAACAAAAGCCTAGATTTTGTTGAATACTGATCTATTAAGCTTCCACCAGCCATCCATGCCCTTTCCTGACTCTGTGCTATTACACCACACACGTTGCTCCTTGCTGAAAACTGTCATCCTACCTTTGAGTCTGGGGCCTCACTCTGTCGCCCAGGCTGGCGTGCAGTGGTACCACCACGGCTAACTGCAGCTTCAACTTCTTCAGTCTACCGAGTAATGGGACTACAGGTGCGCACCACCACGACCTATTTTTTTTTTTTTTTCCCGTAGAGACGAGGTCTCGCTATGTTGACCAGGCTGGTTCGA